GTCGAGCTGAATTTGAAAGAGCCAGAAGAAAAGTTGTGTTAAAAAAGAAAATTATGAGGATACATTGAGTTGTTGCTGGTTAAAAATACCCATAACAAATTGACAAAAGTTCGACCGAAGAAACAATGTTTATTGTATGCCATTAATATATTATCTTATTTTCATTAAATCCAGTCACAAATTTTGCGAAGTCGCGAGAAGAGAAAAAGATTGGTGGTAAAGCTTTCAGAGGATATAATACACTGTAATTAACAATTATTCACGGTCGTGGAGGAGAGAAGTGGTGAATATTTATCGGCACTAAAGTAAATATAACTATACAACAATGCTTCACAGAAACAAAAAAAAAAACAGTTTGTTTCTGTCGATACACCGAAAAAAGTTCGGAAACTAAACTTTTGACTCGGACGCGCGATTTTGTATTGTCGGCTGCTCGGAGGTGAAAAAAAACACTTTCGCACCAGCCGATCTGCGCGTGGGAAAAGCATCATTCACCTGTGTGGTATATATTTTTTAGATATTCTCTCAATCAGAAAAATTTGACTTGACTGACACAATTTGTGTAATGCTCAAGAGAAGAATAATTCGCAAATGCCTCAATCCTCGATCCTGGTACGAATTGACGCGCGGTTCGAGTTAGCGAGGGTTTCAGTTTTCCATAGTCACCTGTGTTTTTAAGTTCCATTCTGACCTTTTTCTTTTCTAGTGAGTTTAACTTTTTGTTTCCTTATCATAAAAGACAGGAATTAGGGGAAGCATATCACTTTCGTTCCTCAAAATTTCTTAAATACGTTAAATTAAGATTGTGCAAAAATTCTGGATTAATCTCTGGGTAGAGTGTAAAGACTCCTATCAACAATCCACGGTGTGGTGGGTTTTTGTGAGAAAGGAGATATATCTATCAGCACAGCGCCTTTGGTTAAGGAAAGTACCCTTGATAAAAACAATATACGGTGGCAATTTATGTTCTCAGCTTTCCTTATCAGACTTAAAGTAAACGGAAATGAGGAAAAATCGTCCTTCTTACCAAATTTATTTCAACCAATCCAAATGCTTTGGAGAATATTGATCTAATGAAGGACATTCTACATAAATGCTGGATACTCATTCTTAGCCTGCATCTATTGGTTTCCTAATTGGAGTAAAGAAAGCTCCAACACATTTGATGGCACCTGTATCCTGAAAAAGTAATTTTAATTCGTCAAAATGTTCCGTAGACACATTGATTAAATGAAGACACCCTTAATTGCCACAATTTCTACACATTGATTTTATCCATGATGCCGCTGGACGATTCGAAAATTTGTTGCAGCTAGCATTGTGCCATGATTGCGGGACTATGAAAGTTTGAACGATCAAGTTTGTAATTTATGGTAAGAATATTCGAAGGATGAAAGAGAAGGATTCCCTAAATCTTAATGAAATTATTGAAAATTAGGTTTTCATTGGTTTCATGAGAGATTTGAGTAATCATTGTACGAGTCGTATGACACAGTATAATATATAACATTTTGGTACTCGTTTATATCCAGTCAAATAACTGTTTTAGGATTTACTCAACTCGCCATTTAAAGGGTACATCATAACCTAAATTACCCTTTTGTGTAGTTGTATAATATGTATTTCTTTGTCGTAATTTGATTCCTCGGTATGGAAGGTTAAAATGTTCAACTCCTTGAATTCACAGCAGATCTACTGGTCAGTTATCTGTGATTGCAGCTGGCAACACCGACCAGAGATAGGCGTAACTTATGATTAAAATCTTTGAGTGACATTTCCCTCGCATGATCTTCCCTGCACGCTCGATATTTTTTTTAAAGCTCAGTCTAACACTAATGCTAACTATTTGAATTCAGTGCAATTAGCTCATTTAACTAAAACAGGTGAGTGTGGTTGCGATCTTTTAGCTTCAGAAATTAAGGGCCCTTGATTTTCAGAGGTATAAGATATCACTGTACCGCCGACATCTTTGAAAACCCGCTTTTGTTCAAGGAAACCAAGGTTTTACTTTGTTAACCAACTCTGACAGAGTGGCGGATACGTGGT